GATGCGGGAAAACTTTTTTTTTTTTTTTTTTTTTTTTTTTTTTATTTTTTTTTTTTTTTTTTTTTTTTTTTATTAACGTGCAAATGACAAACAGCAAAACTCTTCGGGGGAAAAAAAATACAAAAAAAAAAACAAATGCTTGGGGAGAGTCTGGTGTTTCATCATGGGTATGAATAGTTTTTGTTTTTTTTTTTTTTCAGCTTTCTTTTTCTTCTTCTTTCTGGGTGTTGATGTGGATCTCTTTCTACTTGTTCAGGAAGCTGTGACGTGTGTTTTTGGGCAGGGTCTGAGGTTTTGGAACCTTTTTCTAAAAGGGACGGAGAGAGCACCCTGCAGCATTTGCTAATCGAGAGGCTGTCGTGTTGGGCTGAGCTGGTCAGGATGAGGCAGGTTCCCATGGGCAGCAAGCTTATCCTGGTTTTCACCTTCATCCTGGTTTGGGGATATTCCGTTCAAGGTAAGACCCTCCCCCCCATCCTCTGCTACGAAAACCTCAGCATCTCCATCTGAAGTTACAGGGTGTCCTATTGTGGGAGAGGAGGCAAAGGAGGGTTTGAGGTAACTGAACTCCCTAGTGTGAATTCACTTGAGTTTGGTCAAAAAAACACAAACAAAAACCTCTAAGGCAAGTAGCAGCCTTTAAAACTTTCAGAATGCCTGAAAAGTACTCTTAATTTTGGTTTATTCACTTAAAGACTTCAAGAAATAACTAGAAAATTGCCTAAATGACTGATGTATTGAGACGATGATCTTGAAATGTTCTAGAATAGCATCCTACCCCTAAGTTGTCTGCATGAATTCCATCTTTATTTCATACTGAGGTGGGGTCTCATGTACTGTAAGATGCTCTTCACTGTGCTACACAGCTGAAGATGACCCAGAATTCCCAATACTTTTGCCTCCGCCTCCTAAGTGCTGGGGTAACAGGTGTGTGTGTGGCCATGCTTGGCTTCAAGTTAGAATGCATTCTGATGGCACTGTTATTTTAACATCGGGTGAGCTTTTTTTTTTTTTTTTTTTTTGAATTAGGATAAATTTAGCTATTCCTTTTTCTTCTTTAGCTTCTTTCTTACAAAACATTCAATTTTGGCTAGGCATTTGCTAATGCTACCACAAAGAAATATTTTAAGGACAGCCCGAAGAAGGTTAGCATATTTGCTCTTGTTCAGAAAATCGTCCATTTGGTAACCCCTCCTTGAGTTTGGTTATCATTTAGGGCTGTTTAGTCCCACTGAGTCATCCTAAAACTTTTCTTGACTAAGAAGATGAAAATGAAAAGTTTGTAAGGAAAAAAAAGTACTTCTCCTTTGATATATAAGGAACCTTTCTAGAGGAGGAAGGTCATGGCTTGATAAATAGGTAGCAGAGTTTATGGCTGAAAAACATAAAGTTCCCTCAAATGGAAAAGGAAATGTTGAGTCATAATGACACATGTCCTGGGGTTGTTTCTTCGAAGTGACTCCAAGCTATCCTGTTCTTACTTCCGGTTGCAATGAGATCTCACAGGTAAGCTCGGAAATCCCTTATATGCTGGGAGTTCATAAACTCATTTTTATCTGACTATGCTAACGTTGGAAGAATACAGGAAGTGGCCTTGCTGAAGCTCTTTTCTATTTCTGCAGCTTTGTGGTACTAGGTCTTGAACCCAGGGCCTCATGCATGGCAAGTACTCTACCACGGAGCTGGAACTCCAGGTCTCTGTTGGACACAGAGAACAAGTTTACTCAGACCTTTGAGGGGAAAACCTTTGGATTGATGTAATGAGTCCTCAGTAACCCACATGCTCTGACAAGACAGACCACAGTGAATTCTGAATTTGTGACACGTGGGTGACCAGTTGGCCATGGGTGTGTCTCTACCAGAGATACGTATGTAATCCTTTAAGTTGCAAAAGTTCCCAGAAATGTCACATTTTATCTTACGATAAAACTAAACTAAAGACAAAGCCTTGTATATTTCATCATTAGCAAGAAATGAAGGAAGAGCTGGGTTGGGTGGCTAATACAGCACTCCAGAGGCAGAGGCCAGCCTAGTCTACATAGTCCCAGGATAGACGAAGCTTCACAGGGAGAGCCTATCTCAAAAAAGAAAGCATGGGGAAGGTGTTGGCGTGGGCAAGGCTGCATTTATGTTTCCGAATTGTTGATTTAGCTCTCAGTTGGAAAGGGAAACAAAGAAAGGAGAAAATGAATGAACCAAAAATCTAGGGTGTTTCCAAGGTGCTCTTGGCTCAGCGCCTTATGCTCATATCTGAACAGGAACAGAAATGGGTGCCTGGCCATGTGTTAGTACAAGCTGCTGGGGAACAGCAATGACATTATTTGTCATACCTTGTGCGGTGACAGGTATGATTCAATAGTACTCCCTCTCTGTCTTTTTTTTGTTTGTTTGTTTTGACACAGTGCTTCCAGTCACTTAAGCCCAGGCTGGCCTTGAACTCTTTATTAGCTGAGGATGGCCTTGAACTTCTGATTCTTCTTCCTAAGTGCTAGAATTACATACAGGTGCTAGCTACCATGCCCAGTTTGTGGAGTTCTGGGAACCAAACCCAGGCCTTTGTGCATGCTATACCAGCATTCTACGAACTCACCTGCAGCCCCAGCCTTCTCCTTATCTTTAAACAAATATGTGAAGACCGGAGTGTCTGTAGCTTTCTGGTTTGAATGATCAAATGTACCAGGCTTTTAGCTTCTTGATCTGAGGTTACTGTGATGGGTTTCTTAGATTGCCATAGCAAAACACCATAGACTGAGTAGCTTTAACAGCAGAAAGTTATTTTTCTCACAGTACCTGAGTCTTAAATCAAGATCCCAGTGTTGGCAATGTTGGCGTCATTCTGATACCTTTCTCTTTAGCTCATATACTGGTGCCTGTGTCTTCACACAGCCCCTCCCCCACACCTCATTATACTCTTTGAAGGACACCAGCCATTTTGAGGACCACCCTAATGGTCTCATTTTAACTTCATCTACAGTGACCATGTTTCCAAATATTGTCACATTGAAGGAAATTTTTAGGTTAGGACTTCACATGAAATAAATCCTACATATATAAATAAGTTCTATAACATACTTATTCATACAAACTCAACTAAAAGTATGATGTAAAATGGTATGCCAAGTACATGGAAATTTGTCAGTGGGTGTGGATGATAAGAACAAATTGCTGTGGGACAATTGTGGCACACACCTTTAGTTCCAGCACTTGGGAGGCAGAGGCAAGTGGATCTCTGTGAGTTTGAGCCCAGCCTGGTCTACAAATCGAGTTTCAGGACAGCTAATGCTACTACACAGAGAAACCTTGTCTTGAAAAACAAAAACAAAAACAAAACCTAACAAACAAAAAGAGAGCAAATGGCTAATCTAATGTTGGTTCCATGGGATCATTGATGAAACCTGTGTCTCCTACATTGAATTACCATCTTTTAAAATGCCTATCAACACTGGGGAGGTGGAGGAAAGAGGATCAGGAGTCAAAGGTCATAGTGAGCCCTGGGCTACATGAGACCCTGTCTTAAACAAAACACAATACTCAGAGAGAGACAAAATGAAAAATGCACAAGCAGGTGTGGTCAAGGGGCTGGGGCTCCAGCACTCACAGTAAAGATACCACGTCCACTTATGTCCACTTTTGGGCACAGCTGCTGGTAAAGTGATTTCACAATCTCTGCCCAATAACGATCATCACCTTTGACTCAAGGAGGAATTGTGACAGGGGAACTGAGGGGACCTGACAGCCACTTCCTCACATGTTCCTTACGTCAACCCCTTGCCAAATATGTGTGGGTTTTGCCCAAGGTCTGTTAGAGTGAGCTCATAAGTCATTCAGTTTCAAGGTCAGAATTAAGTTTCTAGACAATTTGAGGATCAGACATGTTCTTTAATTTTATTACTGCATTTCACGTGCAAAAGGGGATTTTCCTGCATATATGTCTATGTACCAGGTGCATAGCTCGTGCCGAGGAAGGCCAGAAGAGGGTGTCAGAGTCCCAAGAACTGGAGTTACAGACAGTTGTGAGCTGCCATGTAGGTGCTGGGACTTGACTCCAGGTCCTCTGCAAAAGCAGCTTTAACCTCAGAGACATCTCTCCCTCCCATTCTTTATTTAAAACAAAAACTTTTCCTTTTACTTCAGCCTTTGCTGTTTCCTGTCGAGGTGAGGGCAAACTGAAAGTAAACTTGGAGCTTTTTATAGCCTGTCAAATGATGCCAGAGAGGGGGAAGCTTGCCCGTCTTGTGCAGTTGATAGGACAATAGGAAGTAGCTCAAATGCAGATACTAGCAGCTGCCTAAACATTACCTTTTTCATTTTCTTTTTTCTTTCTTCTTCTTCTTCTTCTTTTTTTTTTAGTCATTTTTTGGATATTTTTGACCTCCCCTTTGGACACTTTCTGCAGCAAGTTCCCATTAGGAATAGGAAATCAGTAAGTTGTCGTCTGATGAAGGTGTGGTAGGTAGAACATGAGAGACCAGAGGCCTGTTGGAGAGATCTGTTGCCCTGCTTGTTCCCTCACAAGAAGTGTTTAGTGAGGCAGAGCTAGTGAGGGTGAGTGCAGAGGGTGTGAAGGCAGGGAGGAAAACTTCTCCCTTAGATTCCACTATGCCATAAACCAGCAGGCCCACTGTAAATGGGGACATTGTGGAAGAAATGAAAGGCCTCTCTTTCATTGGAAAAATTATGATTATGACACATATATTACAGTATCTTTATAATCCCAAAACTCTGGAGGCTGAGACAGGGTTGCAAGTTCTTGGCTAGCCCGGGCTATGTAGGAGAACTCTTTCTCAAAAACTAAAGTGGCTGGGCATGGTGGTACACACAGTTACTCTGAGCATTTGGGGGACAGAGGCAAGTAGATCTTTATGATTTTGAGGCCAGCTTGGCATACTTACTGAGATCCAGGCCAGCCACAGCTACACAGAGAGATAGGCAATGTGAGAGAGACAGAGAGAGAGAGAGAGAGAGAGAGAGAGAGAGAGAGAGATGAAGTTGGATGGGAAAGGAGGTGTGGAGAAGCTGAGAGAGAGAAAAGTATATGATTAAAATATGTTGTACAGAGCCAGAAGGTGGTGCTACACGCCTTTAATTGCAGCACCTGGGAGGCAGAGGCAAGTAGATTGCTGTGAGTTCGAGGCCAGTCTGCTCTACAAAGCTACACAGAGAAACCCTGTCTCAAAAAAAATGTTGTATAAAAAAATTAATAAACATTTTCTTTTAATGGCTGGCAAGGTATCCCAGTGAGTAGAGACCATGGTCACCAAGCCTGACCACTTAATTGTGATCCCTGGGACATGGACACACACACATCTGTATAATAAAAAACAAATAGTGATAATCTTTAGAGATTTTCAGTCCCTCAAGCAAGATAAAGTCCAGATACTCTCAGGGCTTCGGGAGCCAGAACCCTGTATCTTCACAGCCTCCCCACATCCGTGAACAGCTCTGCCAGGAATTCATTATCTATAACTATGTTCTTTAGTTTAATGACCTTCAATTAGATTAAAAATTGGATGGGTTTTAGAGTGGGACAACTTCTACTTTTGATTTCTTATTTTATTTATAATGAGTGTGTGTGTGTGTGTGAGAGAGAGAGAGAGACAGAGACAGAGACAGAGACAGAGAGAGGGAGGGAGAGAGAGCATATTTGTGTGAGCATGCACATACACATGGAGACCATGTGACAGCTTTAGTGTCATCCTCAGGGTCTCTGTCCACTCCTTTGAGGTGGGGTCTTTCATCCCCCTGGAGCTCAGGAATCAGGTTAGACTGGCTGCCCAGGAAGCCCCAGGGATTTCCCTGTTTCTACCTCTTCATTGCTGGGATTAAAAGTGTGTACAACCAGGCTTCACGTTTGTAGGTTCTTAGGACAAAACTCAAGTCCTAGTGTTGGCAAAGCAAGCCCTTTGCTAACTGAGCCATCACCCCTGCTTGTTTGTTTCTTGAGACAGAACCACTTCACATCCCTGGCTTAGAACCCGCTATGTAGACCAGACTGGCCTTGAACTTGTGGCCATCTTTCCACTCTTCCCAGGTGCTAGGATTCCAGATCTATGGCACCATACCTGTTCTGTGTAGTGCCAGGGGAGAGGAGCCAGGGCTTAGCAGGTGCTAGGCAATAACTCTCCCAACTGAGCTACCTCCCATTGCTTCCCTTAATCCTAATGCTGCTGTTCTGGTAAGATTCAGTTCCTACACTACACAGTTCACTCTCCCAACTCACACGACTGTGGTTTTTAGTGTGGTCACAGACTGTGTACCTATCATCGTCAGCTTTTAGAAAACTTTCCTGATTCCCAAATACCCTGCATCCTCGGAGAGAGCTTTCTGTTTCAGAGATCTGTTTTTCTGCCAAAGAATGGTTTTTGCTTTGTGTTTGATAATGGAAAGATGTGGTTGTTGACTGGGATGCCCTCTTGTTTTATGGGCTGATGATGCATCTCAGAGGTAGGGCACTTGGCAGAGGATGCCTGGAGCCCTGGGTTTGATCTCAACCCTGTAGGGAAGTAAAAACTAGTTAGTTTTTCAGTAGAACTTCCTCAAGATCATATTTTTCTCAGCATGGTAGGGCATGAGCATTTGCAGAGGGAACTGCCCTGTCCCATGTAGCAGCCAGCAGCTCCCTGTGACTACCTACAGAACCCTTGAAATATGCTGAGTCTAGACCAACATGTGAGTTCAAAATCTGCACATTGTACAAGAGTTGGTTTAAAACAGTATAAAATACTCTACTCCTCACTTTTATCTCTTTTTTTTTTCTTTTTTTGGTATTTCAAGACAGGGTTTCTCTGTGTAGCTTTGGAGCCTATCCTGGCACTCACTCTGGAGACCAGGCTGGCCTCGAACTCAGAGAGATCCGTCTGCCTCTGCCTCCCGACTGCTGGGATTAAAGGCGTGTGCCACCACTGCCCGGCTTGTCTTACACTTTTTTAACTTAAAAAAAAAATGACTGCTAAAGAAGAAAGGAAGCCGAAAAGAAAAGCAATACTTGGGAAACATTTCAGCCTCAGCTGGACTTGGCACTGTATTTATTAGGGATGCTAGTCTGGGTAGCTGAGGTGGGAAGACATCGCCCTCTGCTGGACAACAGTCTGCATAGTTACTCTCTCCAGATACAAAGTCACAGATGCCTCAGAGAAAAATCAGGAGGAAAAAAAAAAAAAAAAAGTCTTAAAATGCATTGAACATGGGCCGTCTGCAAAGGCTTCTGTTGGCTGGCTTTACAAACTTTCATCTCATTTGAACCAGGAACTCATTACTGTAGTGTTATTCACACTTGAAACACAGTTAACTGAGAACTAGAATTCTACTAAGTGGTGATTGGGTCTCCCTCCAATCTGCCTATTCTTCTGGTGTGTAGGCATGCATACAGGCAGAACACTGTATACCTAATAAATAAATCTTTAAAAAATTTAAGACATGGGCTGAAGAATGGCTCATCGGTTAAAAGTACCTGTTGCTCTTATAGAGGACACACATTCACGTGCTCACACAGTCAGACAATTAAAGGAAACTAACTGGAGATACTGTAGGGGGCTGGAGAGAACCTGGGGACCAGCGCACACTAAGCATATTCTATCACCTAACTCTACTCCCAGCAAACTCCTTCATAATCATGGGTTTCCTATGCTGTGAATACTTCCTACCAGAACGTTCATTACCATTTGACCCGTATGCTGTGACAAGTGACCAGGTTGCCATTTCTCTCCAGCGTCTCCTCCTCTTCCATCCTGGGCTGTCAAGCTTCTTTCCCTCCTTGCAAGAGTTCTAGCATGCTTGCTCCTCCTGGGTGCATGATTATGAGCTGCACTGGTATTGGTTAGCCTGTCCTTGGTGGGGAGAAGATGAGCCTCTCAAGGGTGGAGTGGTACTTCTCACCAGCTTCAGCTCATTAAAGTACTTCACAACACGTGGATCTCATGACTTGCTGAGGTGGGTGCACCTGCAGTCGAAACATTTGAGGCAAAGTATGGAGGCAGAGGCTGGAGTATCTCCACAGGGTCCATGCCATCCTGGTTTATGTAGAATTTCCAGGCCAGCCATGGCTACAGTGTGAGTTGCTGTCTGAAAATACAAAACAGAACCAAAAATCCAAAAGAGGTGGCAAGAAGCTGTGATCTCTGTATGGGGTCCTTCAAGATGGCTCAGTGGGTAATGGCACTAAGCCTGATGGCCTGAGTTAAATCCCTGATAGCCGAGTGGTAGAAGCAGAGAACTGACTCCTAAGAATTGTCCTTTGACCTTCACTGGTGTCTTTAGTGACACATGCTCCCCTCCCTCCAAATCAGTCAATAAAATGTAAATTAGCTAGCTGGTGCCATACACCTTTAATCCCAACACTTGGGAGGCAGAGGCAGGAGATCTGTGTTTGAGGCCTGCCTGGTCTACAGAGCGAGTTCCAGAACAGCCAGGGATACACTGAGAAATCCTATCTTCTGCCCCACAAAAAAAATATATTGTCATAGGGTCCTGAAATACAAGTGATAGGGTGTTGTATTGCTTTGGGTTGTCTTATTGTACACAATTCGTGCCCCTGCTTTGGTACTAAGGGTCAAATTTCCCACCTGTGCATCCTATGTAAGTTATCTACCACAAATTCTCTCACTCTGAGATGTCCAAGCTAGCTCTGACAGGCCTTGAACTTGGGACCTCCCTCCCTCCCTCAGCTTTCTGAGTAGCTAGTATAGCAGGCCTGTGCCACCAGGCCTGGTTTTCTCAACCTGTCTGAGACATCAGTGGTCTCATCTCCAAGCAGGGCGTGGTGGTTCAGAGTTGGCATCCTAGTACTGGGAAGAGAAAATGAGGGGGCGTTCCTCTGCAAGCAAGGTTGACCTGGGCTACACAGCAAGAAGCTGCTCCCTAACAGTGACAACAAAAGGATAGGATCTGAAAAATCACCCTAGGAGAAGGAGGGCTTTGGGATCAGGTACAGATCTCAGTCCTGACTCCTCCACTGAGGACCTTTGTGTAATGTGGAGATAAAGATGCAGGCATGGCGACAGTGCTGGCCATGGAGGTGCACACTGGTGATGCCAGCACTAGGGATACAGAGGCAAGAGGATCAAGAACTCCAGGACTGTGGTGGTGCACACCTTTACTCCCAGCGCTCCGGAGGTAGAGGCAGATTAATCTCTGAGTTCCAGGCTAGTTTGGCCTACATAGTTCCAGGACAGCCAGCCTACATAGTGATATCCTGTCTCAACGAAAAACAACAACAAAATAATGAGAGTTCTAGAACAGCCTGGGATATGGTACAAGCCTGTGTCCAGAAGGAGTTAATATCACTAAATACAGCCGGGCAGTGGTGGTGCAGGCCTTTAATCCCAGAACTTGGGAGGCAGAGGCAGGCGGATCTCTGTGAAATCGAGACCAGCCTGGTTTACAAGAGCTAGTTACAGGACAGCCTCCAAAGCCACAGAGAAACCCTGTCCTGAAAACAACAACAACAAAATCACTAAATACTCACTCATCACAATGCCTGGCATTGTGTCAAGGTCTTTGTATGAATCTTCTTCAATTTTTGTCACAAACTTAGGATAACACTGGACTTCAGTTTACAATACAAGCTCAGATGTCAAGGTTTTAGCACTGACTGGAGGCTGAGTTGAGCCTGGTCTCCCAGCTGCTCATTCCTATATTTATTCTATTTAAACACAGTTTCTTTTTTTATTCTTTTGTTTGTTTTTTATTTCTGGTGTGTGGTGTGTGTGTGTGTGGGGGGGGTGTGTGGTGTGCATGTATGAGTCTGTTTAAGTCCAAGGACAACTTGTCAGTTCTCTTTCCATCGTAATGTTCTGGGGATCGATCGAACACTGATCATCAGGCTCAGCAGCAACTACCTTTACCCACTGAACCGTCCTGCTGGCTCTGTTGTACTCTTGAGCCAGCTGCTATTGCAAAGAAATGCGGTGCTCACCACAGGGCACAGGCATTGTTGGACATAAAACCCGTGACCTTCTGCCAAATCTGGAATCCATTTAATTAGCCAGGCAGTAGTGGTGGTGCATGCCTTTAATCCCAGCATTTGTGAGGTAGAGGCAGGCAGGTCTCTGAATTCCAGGCAAGCTTGGCCTACAGAGGGAGTTCCAGAACTCCCAGGGATACATGGAGACAAACTGTCTTGAAAAAAACAAAGGAAGAAGAATGAAAGAGTCCAATTAACTTGTTAGAAACAGAGTATAGTCATTGTGATGAGCCCATGTGAGAGAGACTTACTGCCCACATGGGTTCCTTGTTTGAACAGGTTATCCTGCTCGGAGAGCCAGGTACCAATGGGTACGCTGCAATCCCGATAGCATCTCTGCAAACTGCGTGGAGCAGAAGGGACCACTGTTTGACCTAAACGCAGATGGATCCAACAACATTGACCCTCCAATGGCCAATCCTGTTCTGTAAGTGGACTTTTGTCTGATCTCACAGAAGTGGTGGAGTATTTCTTTTCAGCTTCCTGCTGCGGGTAGCTCTGTTTTCTGCTTCACATTAGGGAAAAGTGTGCCACATGAGCTGAATGAAGCATGAGATGTGGCAACACACATGGGTTCATCCATGTTTTTGTAAGGTTTTCTTGTGGGTGGCAGGAACAAACACTATCCTCCCACCAACATACATTAAAACCATCGAACATAGTTTTATTTATGCAAATAAAGAGTTTATATATTAAAATCAAGTTAGATTTTTTTAAAGATTTATTTATTATGTATGCAACATTCTGCTTCCATGTATATCTGCACACCAAAGAGGGCACCAGATCTCATAATGGATGGTTGTGAGCCACCATGTGGTTGCTGGGAATTGAACTCAGGACCTCTGGAAGAGCAGCCAGCACTCTTAACCTCTGAGCCATCTCTCCAGCCCCCCCCCCCTTTTTTTGAGATAGGATTTGACTATGTTGCCCAGGCTGGCCTGGAGCTTGCTCTGTACATCAGGCTGGACTTGAAATCACAGAGATCAGCCTACTTCTTTCTGCCTCTGAGTGCTGCGATTAAAGGTTCGCACCTTTATCCTATGAGGGGTGCTTATGCTTGCCCCTCCCCCAACACATACACTTGGACTCCTGCTTCTTTCCTCGATCCAGAGTGTTTGGTTACTGAGGCACATCTATTGATTGTGTCTCTATCTTCAGGTTGCTTGACCACTTCACTGCCTTTTAAAATGATTGACTCTCCACTTCCCTTCAAAGCCCCTTTCTGTGGGCTTCTACCATCAACCTGCTCCAGGCTGTTGGGTTTTGGTAGCTAAGTTCTCTTTTGCTCATTTTAAACATGTGGTGTGTCCTGGCTCTATCACAAGCCTCCGTGCTTCCTCAAGGCGACCTCTGCCTGTTTCACACCTTTCAGTTCCATCTGTATGTCAGTAGCTGCCACGTCTGCATCCAGCCCTCTCTGATCTGTGGGGCTGAAGCAGCCTCCTGGGTTCATTTGATGACATTTCACATTTCCTGTCTCAGCATTCCCTACCATTTTCCTGATTGATTTATTCACTAGAATATTAATTTTTTGAGCAGAGTCCTCATCTTTCTTTCCCTTTTGCATCTCAAGCAGTGAGGACAGGGACCAAATGGTCAACAAAATATATTTATTTTTTTGCATGCATGCGGGACTAGCTATAACTCTGATCAGTTTTACAGTCTATGGAGTGTGATTTTCCTGGAGAAAAAGACCCTCAGGCTATAACATTCAAACCCACCCACCTTTTGAACAGGGTTTTCATATGTTGACCAGGCTAGTCAGTCACAAATTTGTGGTCACCACCCTCCCTTTCTGTGTCTCTTACTAGTTTGTGCCACCATTCTGGGCTTGAATTCAACTTTTGGCAATGATGCTTTGCTGTCCAGATTTGCCAAGGATGGGTGGCACCATTTCTCTGCTCTGGTTTTTGTGTGGTCTTTAGAATGAGTTAAGTGTGTTTAACCAACCCACTTTTTTTTTTTTTAACTCGGCCCTGACAGCTTCCCCATTTAGCTCAAGAATACAGATCCAAGAATTATATTTAGAAGAGAAAAATTAATTTTTATGTTCTGGTAAGGCTAATAACCTTTTCTAGGTATGGTGTCTCACACCTTTAATCCCAGCACTCAGAAGGCAGAGGCAGATGGATCTCTGGGAGTTCTAGGCCAGCCTAGGATATACAAATGAAACCCTGTCTCAAAACAAAAACAAAGGCACATAGGTATGCACCTGTAAGTGTAGCATGTAGGAGGATGAGCCAAGAGAGTCAAGAGCCTGAGACCAACTTGGCTTTCAAAATGACATTCTACCTATCTGAGAAGAACAAAGAAGGAACATTAATCTTTGTTTTAGAACTATATTATTCATTAGAAATTCTGTGGAAACTTCAATTAGGAAACAGTGTCATCTGTCTAGAATGATTTCACAGTGTGCCCTTTAAGGAGAAAATATCAAAAGAGTTTTTATTGTTTTTAAAGGCAAATGGTGCTTAAGAAAATATAAAACACAGGATTTCAGTAGTTAGTGATATGAACAGTGTAGGCTGTTCACCTCTGTTTGCTTTGGGTAAATATAGATTCAATGAGTGCAGTGAATTAATAGATGAGTATAAGCAAACATGGATATAGAGGGCTTGGCTTACTGTTTTTTATTAAAGAAATCTATTTTTTAATAATTTACTTATTATATGTGTTTTGTGTTTTGCCTGCATGCATGTCTGTATATGTGTGGGTGTCAGATCTTTTGTTACAGACGGTTGTCAGCTGCCGTGTGGGTGCTGGGAACTGAACCCCGGGTCCTCTGGAAGAGCAGTCAGTGCTCTTAACGACTGAGCTATCTCTGCAGCCCAAGACATCTATTTTTAATGAAGATTTATTTATGATGTATACAGTATTGTGCTTGTACATATGCCTGCATGCCAGAAGACAGCAACAGATCTCATTACAGCCAGTTGTGAGCCACCATGTGGTTGCTGGGCATTGAACTCAGAACTTCTGGAAGAGCAGCCTGTGCTGTTAGCTCCTGAGCCATCTCTCCAGCCCAAGATTTATCTGTTTTCATTTCATGTGTATGCGTGTTTGCCTGCATATATGTGCAGGCATCATGTGCATGCCTGGTGATGGAGGAGGCCAGATGAAGGTGTCAGATTCTCTGAAGCTGGAGTTGCAGGTGCTTGTGAGCCTCCATGTGGGTGCTGGGAACTGAACCCAGATCCTCTGCAAGAACAGCAATTGCTCTTAAAAAACTACTGAGTTGTCTCTTCTGCTCTGGCCTTTTGTTTTGAAGCACTGAAGAGGGTTTTCTCTCTTGACTTTGAACAACTGGGTGCCTAAATTTATTCCCATATTCCCCTTCTACTCCCCACTATTCTCCCTACCCCTGCCCCATTTTTATTTTGTTTTTTGAGGAAGAGCTCAGATAGCCCAATGCTGGCTGCAATTCACCATGGATCCAAGGATGGCTTTAAACTTGTGATCCTACAGCTTTCATTGCTGAAACCCACAATCATTTATGTTGCTCCGGGCACAGCTTATTTCTGTATATTTAAAAATTGGGATTATATTATTTATAAGTAGATCTGGATATTCTTTCTTTATATTTCAGGATGAGAGGATTCCCAAATGATTTCTTCCCTATTACTGAAGACTATTCTGGGTCAGGCTCAGGCTCAGGCTCAGGCTCTGGCTCTGGCTCTGGTTCTGGCTCTGGCTCTGGCTCTGGTTCTGGCTCCGGCTCAGGAAGTGGCTTCCCAGTCGACATGGAATGGGAATACCAGCCAGCAGTTGAAAGCGATGGTGTCTTTTTCAACTATAGGCCTTTTGAGAGGATGCTCCACGAGAACAACCAAGAGCAACCAGAAGATTTTATTATATGAAAATGGTCATTTCTGTTTCCCCATCTCAACACAGAACAATGTATTCAGTATACTTTGTGTACCACACTTAGATGGTGAGTCTTGGGATAAAGAGTTTTATAGAAAATTTTAAATGCCTGGAAAAGACTCTTAAATCCTGTTACCCTTTCCTCATGAATTCTTAAGGAATTACACTTTAATGCTGTTATTGTTCTAGAGAATATCTGCACTTATATGCATGTTGGATCAACATGATGAAATTAACTCACACCCCCATCATTTTACTACAACTTTTAAAAGTCATGCTGTTTTTTAAAAATTCAATTTGAAGAGAAAGTTAATGAACAATATTTCATACCTACAGTGTTCAGGAACTCTCTCACATTGTGAATTACGGAAATACTCCTTTTTATGATTAAAAATAAAATAAAATGAAACAGTGACCTCCTACAGTGGCTATGTGACATGATTTACAGTGATGACTTCTGTTGGGCCATGGCCATCAGATGTGATGGAGCAGCAGTGAATGTTGTTTATCTAAAAATGTTGTGGGTTGTACATAACACCTCAAGCAACACATAGTGTAGTCTCAACCCCTCACAATGCTTGGCGTTTTCTATATGTCTGTTGAATTTCAAATGTTACTCCATTAAAGCAAAGATAGAACCAAAGGGGGGAAGCTGTCTGGGGTTTCTTTTTCGAGTCTAAGAAACAGTTACCTTTAAAATAATTTTCACTATTCCCATTGTGAGAGTCTCACTGAACTTTAAGCATGACATTTTAATCAATGCATGTGTGCCAAGGGATGAGAGCCAAAAATAGGACTCACCTTGAGAGTACTGGAGCTAATCATGGGATGGGACTGCTGCAAAGCCAAGAAAAAGGATAGAGGACCAAACCATTAGAAAATTAAAGACCATTCACAATTATTATACATGTCTTTTCCAAAGCAATAATAATTGTCAACAGAATGCTAAGACAGCAGAGAGAAGGGGGTGAGTGGTTGTGCAGAAGCTGTTTATTTATTGCTGTTTTCTCAGTATATTGTCTTAATATTTCAATCACTGTCTAAAATATTGATATATATTTATATCTTATGGTATTCTGTCTTCTTTCATCTGTGCTGAACTAGGGTTTCTCATTCTTGTCATAAGTGGTGGTTTGTGATGATTTTTTTCTTTCCTTATATTCTTCTTCTCTCTCTCTCTATTTTTTTGTGGTTGAATTGGTGATTGAACCTAATGCTCTGCCACTAAACTATACGCCAAACCTCTGGACAGGATTTCTTTGTTGCAAGGGGATGCCCTCTTTATTGTGGAGTGTCAGGCTTTGTCTGCAACCCCTCTCCATGAGATACTCAGTAGTTCTATTCTCCTAGATGCCAGGGAAAATACCCCCAAACATTTCCAAATGATCACCTGGGAAAAGTCTTCCTCTCTATAGAATTGTTTTGTGGAACTGATGATCACTTAGTGGCTTAAGTCTCATCAGTAACATTTCGACCTTTAAAATCATTACCTATTGCAGGAGTCATCAGTGTTTTACAGAAGCCAGGCCTGGTAGCACAGGTCTTTAATCCCTGTGCCACCCCTGGGAGGCAGGTGAGTTCAAGGCCACTCTGGTCTCCATAGTGAGTTCCAGGCCAGACAGGGCTATAAAGTGATACCATGTTAAAAACAAAACAAAACAGGTAATTTGTTGAAAATAAAATATTAGTAGCACAATCCTTCAACTCTTTGATATAAAATTGCTCTTAAAATATTTTCTGGGTACAGGAGAGATGGCTCAGAGGTTAACAGCACTGCCTGCTCTTCCAGAGGTCCCCACTTCAATTCCCAGTCAAATATACATGGTGGCTCACAACCATCTCTAATGGGATTGGTGGCCTCTAGTGGCTTGCAGAGACATTTGTATGCATTAAAAAAAATAACCCCAGCTCTTGGGAGGCAGAGGCAGGTGTATCTCTGTGAGTTCAAGGCCAGGCTGGTCTACAGAGCTAGTTACAGGACACCCAGAGCTGTTAACTGAGAAAATGTGTCTCAAACAAAACAAAACAAAATTCTTAGCTGGGAGGTGGCACATGCCTTTAATCCAAGCACTCTGGAGAAGAGGTAGGTGGATCTTTGTGAGTTCCATGCCAGTGTGGTCTACAAAGTGAATTCCAGGGCTGGGACTACACAGAGAAACTGTGTCTCAAAACAAAACAAAACAAAACAAAACAAAACAAAACAAAACAAAACCCAAAACCCAAACCCAAACCCAAACCCAAACCCAAACCAAAACCAAACAACAGGAAAGGAAGTCAAAATCCATTCAGGAAGCTCAATATAGGCTTTCAAGTAATTCCAGGAAGCAGGCTGGGAACATAACTAATAGTATAGTGTTTGTTTAGGATATACAAGGCTCTGGGTTCAATCCTCAGCTCCAAAAAGGCAAAAGGAAATCCATACTAGTGGGAGTGGAAGAAAATAAAAAGGACCGGAGCAAATCATCAAAGAAATTTAGAAAGTCAGCAAGCTACACACAGTGAACACAGGTAAGCCACACACACATCACAATGAACAACTGAAGAATAAAAATTTGAAGAATAAAAATTTTAAATTACATTGAAAATACTGTAGAAATAGTAGGTGCTTAGAGATGAGTTTAATAAAAGATATCTAATATGTGTATGGCTGAAACTATAAAAATGGTGAAGGACACTAACAAAGACCTAAAAATTAGAAAAAAGCATAATGTTCACTATTGTTTTTATACTTCATTCAAGGCTTAATCTAATGTTTTAGTAGTGAAGACAGTGTGATAGTGTGTATAGACACAGAAATCCAGAAAGAGACCCATCATTCTACAGTCAATTGATTTAAATAATAAACCCAAAGCCTTTTATATATATGGACATTTTGCTGAATGTCTGTGCACAATATGCATTGGTGGTGCCCATGGAGGCCAGAAGAGGGCATCAGATCCCCCTAGTTGGGAGTCACTATTTGGATGCTGGGAATCAAATCTCAACCTCTGGAATTGCAAGCTGCAAGTGCTCTTCATTTAGCTGAGCCATCTTTCCAGCCCCAATGACTAGATTTTTGAGAAGCATGCCATAGCAAGTTAGAGGAGAAAGGTTTATGGAGCCTGTGAAGACAGTAAAGCCCTCAGATTTCAGACTATGCGCAGTTGTTTTTCTCTCTTGTTTTTTTGTAACAGGGTCTCACACTGTAGCCCAGGTGTTTGCTGGCCTTTTAATTCATGATTCTTTTACTTCTGCCTCTATTTCATTGGGATTACAGGCATGAAGCACTCTGCCTGTTTATCCTTCCTTATAGAGCAACAGATGCTACTTTGTGCAAGCAATCTGATTCAGTCTGAATGCATCTCGTCCCTTCTCCACCCCTTACTCCAGGGTTTCTTTGTATATCCTTGGCTGTCCTAGAGCTCACTATGTAGACCAGGCTGGACTGGAACTTACCTGCCTGCCTCTACCTCCTGAGTGTGTGCATCAAAGGCGTGGGCTACCACTGCCTGGTCCTACCTACCTACCTACATATCTAGTTTTACTTTAATTTTATGTGCATTGCTGTACTGCCTGCACATATGTCTGTGTGAGGGTGTCAGGTCCCTGGAACTGGATTTTAAAGATAGTTTTGAACTGCCATGTGGGTGCTGGGAATTGAAGCAGGGTCCTCTAGAAGAGCAGCCAGTGCTCTTAACCGCTGAGCCATCTCTCCTGCCTGAGACCCTGTCTTAAAAAACAAAACAAACAAACAAGAAAGAAAGAAAGAAAGAAAGAAAGAAAGAAAGAAAGAAAGAAAGAAAGGAAAAAAAAGCGAAGCTAATTTCCAGTATTTGGACTCTGTGACGATTAGACTTACAGACCTGACACTCCTGCTTCCCACGTTAAACTTTGTTATGATGGGAGGATGTCCATAGCCCCCCCCACACCCGGCTCCGAATTTGAGCAAAGATTCTTTTCGGAAGATTTCGTGGTATTCATCCATCCTCAGATCTTGTAGGCCGCCTCTACAGCGATGGGGTCACGTGTTTTGCACTCTCTGGAACTTTCAGGAAGGGCAGAACCCGTGGGGGCGCCCAGCCTCTGCAGCTTGGAGGGGTGGGTCGCCAGCTCTCTCTGGCCTGCAAAGGACTTGTTCTAAGATTAGTTTTTCTCCTCGTTGGTCTCCTTGGAGGTGAAGCCTCAACAAAGCCGCTTCAGGAGAGATAAGGTGCGAAGGTCGGAAACGCAGCAAGCCTGCAAGGACACGTGTCGCGCACAAACCATTGCTTCCTTCCCAGCCCCTGGAACTTCCCTAGGGAAGAGGAAACGGGTGTGCCGCGGGAGGAGTTCATCTTGTGACTGCTCTAAGGTTGAAGGACTGGAAGATCGCTCTCCGACCCCTCCCACCCGACGTCACCCACAGCGACCCCGCCTCCCGACCGAAGGGCGGGGCGAAGAAACCCCGCCTCTAAACGGCCTTCCTGGAGGGCCGGGCCTCCCGCGGGGCGGGGCCAGAGTAGGGGAGGGCGGAGAGGCAAAGGAGTGGTCACGTGCGGCTGGTGGCCCGCGGTCACGTGACGGGCGGCGGGGCGCAGGCAGTCAGGCTGGGAGTTCTCCTGAGGAAAAGCCGAGACAAGTGGGGGACCCGGCGGCGGTGACAATGGTGAGTGCGCGGCGGTCTGTGCGGCCGTCTCCCGCGGGGTCTCGGTGCGCGTGGCGGGACTCCAACGGCGAGCGCGGCTCGGAGCCTGCAGGGACGGGGCGCGGAGCCGGGGGGGCTGGAGGCGGGCCGGG